AAGGTGGAGCCATTACCCATGGTGACAACAGAGGAGGAGGGAGAGTGCGTGAGATGTTGAATCATACGGGGTCGAAGGCCATGTGCGCTATGGCTCCGGAGTCCATTATCCATTCACTCACTGTCGATGGAGTTGAGGTGTTGTTTAGTGCAGCAGGAGGGCGGAGCAGTCCCACGCCGTAATGCCGCCGTAGCTAGAAGTGGGTGGCGCGTTGGTGCCGAAAGCCTGGCCGTGTAGCGGGGCGAGGGAGGTAAAGGCCTGGGCCGGCGGAAGGACTGGGGGTCGCGGCCCGAGCAGGCCAGCAATGGCGTTGGGCCTCGCTGTTGGGGGCGCCTGAAGCAGCTGATGGGCCTGCCCCGTATGGGGGTTGAAGTAGACCCAGGGACCAACGAACGAGGGCGCCCTGCGCTGGAAGTTCCTGTCGTGGGAGTTGGAGCGTCTGTCGCTGCCGTTCCCGCTGCCGGAGCCCTTCTACCAGTTGCCGCTGTTGCGGTGTCCGCCGGAGGAGTCGCCCCCGGAGGTGTTGCTGTACCGAGGGCCGTCGTTGCCGTGTCGAGCGACGTCGCCATGGTCAGGTGCGCGGAGCTGACCAGAGGAGGTGAAGCCGCTGGCGCCATGGGGAGGCGCACCACCATATAGTGCCGCCTGGTGTCCTATCGCGACAGAATTCGCGAGCTGGGTCTCGCGGAGGGTCAGCGGCGACCTCGTATGGCTGAACGAGGGAAGGGGGTTCTGCATGGTGACAATTGTCGTGATGTCCGAGAGACGCGGATTGAGGCCACAGAGGCAATTGAGGACGAGCGTCTGGTCGGAGATGAGGATGCCAACGTCACTGAGGGCGCCGGAGAGTGCCTTCAGACAGTGGCAGTATGCAGTGTGATGGAGAGCTCGCCCTGGACGCGGCCGCGGAACTCCGCCTCAAGATAAACAGTGCGGGTCATCTGATGATCAAGGAAAAGGTTGCTGATGAGCGTCCAAGCTTCTTGTGCCGTCTCGTCCTCCGCCATGATTATGCCGAGTATCTCGTCCGAGATGGACCCAATAGAGCCACGAGCGGACAATATAGTCCTCGCGAACCAGTGTGCGGTGCGGTCCGCCTCGGCAGTGGCGGTGTTGACGTGGGAGAGCAGATCATACTTGCCGAGAAGCACACTGATGAGCATCCTCCACTTGGTGAAGTTGGAGGCGTGGAGGTCCAGTGTCACAGGGACATGAGTGTGGACACTCGTTGACGGCGGTGGATGCAGCGGCGGGCATGATGGCGGTGATCAGGTTGCCGTTGGTGGAGTTCATGGAGGCGGGGAGGGTTGAGGAGGCGAGGGAGGAGCTGGTGTTGGGGGTGGTGGACATGGCTGGACTGCGCTGCGAGGGGCAGGGAGCAAGCGGGGTGATCAGGGAGGATCGTAGGTAGTCTCTGATACCAAGAAACAAAGTAGGATTGTGTGATTCACGCCACACTTGGGGCGGCCTTTGTATACTAAATATACAGGATTACATGCCTTGGTAATCAAGGTGAATGAAAGCAAATCCTCAACCGAATCATACAACAATATTCGGTGGGATATTGTGCTAGTTTCCTATTACATGAATTACAGACAAAAGGAGTACTTTTAACACAAATCCCTACCCAATTTTGCTGCCCACCAACCAGCAGCAGCCCTGCCATCAGCAGATTTACTAGCAGCAACAACAGATTGCCGCTGTAGAAATATATTGCCTGCCTCTTCATCAAATCGGACTTTTGGATGAGTTGGCTGGAGCATGACTTCAATATGTATCAGAGCCAAGAGGTCTCAAGTTCAAGACCCTGCCAACGCAATATTAAAAAAATAATTCTGCGGCCTACATCGATCACGTCTAAGGACTAAAATAGCCTAGACGTGAGGGGGAGTGTTCAAATATATTGCTGGCCTCTCTTCATCAGTTCGGACTTTTGGATGAGTTGGCTGGAGCATGAATTCAATAGCCGCCGCCTTCATGACTCCACCTGCCAACCGATTTCATATGTTGTTATGGTTGTGGTCCCCTCCACAACCCATCTATGGATCCACCTCTCCCATCACCTTGGCTTAGGTTGGGTTCCGGCATGCCCTGCTTCCACAAGCTTGACTTCCCAACATAGGATGGTTTGGTCGATCCTGTTGGTTGGCTTAATATGTGTGAGCAGTTTTTTCGTGGACAGCGCATGGATGAGGCCGACAAGGTTTAGACTGCAGCCTACCATCTCACCAATGATGCTCAATTTTGGTACTTACAGCTCGAGCGTGATTCTGGCATGCCGACATGGGAGCAAGGAGGCTTGCCATGTTCAGTTTGGGCTGTCACTTTGCGCAAATCCCTTCGGCAAGTTGGCATGTCTGCCGTTCACTTCCTCGGTAGCAGACTATACCAGCAGGTTTGTAGCGCTCGTGTGCCGCAACAATGAGCTATTAACACCATCCCAACAGCGGTTTCTGTACACAGCAAGGCTGCCCGGTGATCTTTGCATTGACGTCGAGCTTCAACGACCATCTGACCTCCACACCGCCATCTCCTTCCTCAAGGCCTATGAGCAGCGGCATTTTCCTCCAACATTACCACACCAGCCTTCTGGGACTAGGCCCTTGTGCCCGTCCAATCCTCCTGATGGAAGAGGGAGGCCGGGGGCACGGTGGTGTAGTTGGGCACGGGCCCGTAGCCGGGCGGTGCGTAGCCGCCGTAGCCGTACGCGCCAGGAAACAGGGGCGCAGGAGCAGCATACATGGCCTGCTGTGGTGGAGTGCCGGGCCGGGGTCCAAGGACGCCAGAACCCGGAGCGCGCCAGGGCATGGGCCACGCTTGGACAAGGCCCGTCCAAGAGTTGGCGCCGGGCACGGGTGCGGGCAAGCCGGGGACGCGTGGAGGCGCTTGCTGAGGGAGACCACTGGAGCCGGAGCCGCCACCGTTGCCAGAGCCGCGCCCGCGGCGACGCCCGCGGCCACCATGCCCGGGAGCGGCGGGGGAGCGGCGACAGGCGGAGCGGTTGGTGGTGAAGTGCCGCGCCCGGCGACAAGCGCGTGCGCGCCCTGGAGACGCGCCGTTTGCTCGGCACGGTGCTCCTCAAGGAGGAGGAAGGAGCGCGTCTGAAGAAGCGTGGAGAGGGTTGCACGAAGTGATGTGCGGGATGGCGCCATGGTACTGGCGCGCGAGCCCACGCAGAAGATGGAAGACTTGGCGCGTCTCCTTCACCGGTTGGCCGAGGTCGCGCAGTTGGTCCGTGTACGTCTTCAGCTTGGTGCAGTATTGCATGATCGTCAGGTCGCCCTGCACCACGGCATGGTACTCGGCGTCGATGTAGACCGCCGGGGCGAGCTGGTTGTCGCGAAAGACGCCGTCGATCGACGTCCATACGGAGAGCTCTGTGTCCTCCTCTTGCATCACGGCGTCCAGCAGATTGGGCGCAACAGTGGTGTTGAGCGAGTGGACGACAGCATGATCAGCCATCGCCCACTCGGGATCGTCGAAGCGCGGCACTGCCGCAGCGTCAAGGTGAGCGCGCAGCCCGAACATGCCGATCGCCGTGTCGAAATGACGGCGCCACTGCGCGTAGTTGCCGGCGAGGAGATCGAGAGTGACGGGGACGTGGCGGCGTATGTCGATGGTCTGGAGCAACGAAGAGGGGAGCGGGGACACGGGCGCCGACGCGAGGGCGGCGGGTGGAGCGGGAGCAGCCGGTGGTGCGGCGGAGAGGAGCGCTGGAGGTGGGGCAGGAGCGACGGGAGCGCCAGAGTCGCTAGCAGCAGGGGAGGGAGGAGGGCTGGGGTTGTCACCCATGGCGGCGGAAGCGGGATCGACGACCGGAGCAAAGGGATTTGCCTGGTCGACGGTATCTGATACCATGATGGAAGAGGGAGAAGCGATGGGATTCAACACACGTTCATTAGCTCTGCAGGCTGAGGTTATATACAGTTTTACAGAGGTTCATGTGCCACTACCATGCGATCGTGGGCTAACAGCATGCCCACCACTCTCACGCACGCACAGACCAGAGGTCGTGCCGTATACACAATCCGTACGCAGGTACACTACGTATACTCTAACACCTCCTTCTGTCAGCGCAGCTACAATACCTTCCAGCCAGCACCACTAGCACTTGTTTTGCCATCAACCACTCCAGAGCGAACCCCGTCACGGCAGATTCGGCACCTGACTCCAGCTGAGTTGGAAGAACGTTGTTGTCGGGGCCTTTGCGTCAACTGCGGCGAGATATATGTTCAGGGTCACCGTTGCGTGTGGCTCTTCTTCGTCGAGTCTGATGACTGGTAGCACCCAAGGCCCCCTAGGAGGCAATTGACAATCTACAGCTTGTGGACAAGCTGTTTTTCAAGGAAGGGAGAGATGTTATGTGGGCCAGCCATCAAGCATGGAGTCTGAGGCCTTAATTAGAGTCCTAGTTGATCAATAAACTTTGTTAGAAAAGGGTCCAGTAAGTTTAGAGATCGTATTATAGTTTGAATAGATTTACCGGCTTGTTGGTCAAGCATTGTATACTATATAAAGGGACCGACCCATCTCAATAAAGCAGAGACACTTTTATCTACTCCTCAGTAATTAGGGTTGTCAGTAGTAGATCCTTCCATACCCGTACTAATTGCTTATTTGTAGTGGTTTTAGACAGATGGTGTACAGAAATAGCAAGAACTATGTCAAAAACTAAGTGTTAACTTACTCCTTGTGTGTTCATGAAGCTAAAATGGCAAGTAATTCTGACCAAATGCTGTATTATTATATTTTAAATAACGTGAAGTAATGGCAATGATGCTAGTTTGTGTGTTTTTGTCTCGAGTTTTCTTGAAGATCATTCACTGTGTTTATTTCTGGTGCTACTTATTAGATATTATATTGGCAGACAAAGATCTGTTCATGTCTGAACTTATAGATAATATATATAGCTGTGTGCATCAATTGATGTAGAGGCCAGGGGTTCTTCCCACTTTTCTTTTTGAAAAAAAGAAGAGATGTTAATACATTTATTTCTACAGGGGAATTTTGAAATGTCCCATCAGCAAGCGTTAGCCCAAGTAACAGCACAAGCAGTCCATTCTCAGTATACTGTTGGCAGTCAAGCAGATTACTCACTCCCTTTCTCATCGGCAACATCAGCTTTGACATCACAGTTCATCAAATCTTCTGCAAATGTGACATCAATGAAGGAGACAGCAACTCTGCCACTGCATACAGTTAATGATAACCTTAAGTCAAATGAGGTTTCACAAGGATTCCAAACTTTGGCCCTCACCGTGGATAAACCTGCTGATGATGGGTACAATTGGCGAAAGTATGGCCAGAAGGCAGTTAAGGGTGGAGAGTATCCAAGGAGCTACTATAAATGCACCCAGGCGAGCTGTCCAGTTAAGAAGAAAGTGGAGCACTCAGCATATGGACAGATTACTCAAATAATTTATAGAGGCCAGCATAACCACCAGCGTCCACCAAAAAGGAGGTCCAAAGATGGTGGCAATTTACTAAATGAAGATGATTTCCCTGAGAACAGAGACGCGTTGACTCGATCAGAACCAGGCTCTCAAGATCATTCTGGAAAAGTTGAGGTATCAAATGATGGCATCACAGGGCTTTCAATGTCTAAGAGGAGAGACGGAGGTGATCAATCGTCTGGCTCAAGTGATAGAGAGGAGGACAATGATGAAGCAGGTGATGACAATGGAGATGCTGGTATTGTGAATGCAAACAAAAGGTGGTTCATGTAGTGAATAAAAATTTGTTAGTAGTATTTTTTGAAGCTTCAATCTATAAATGCTAGTTTCACTGGACAGGCATGTGCCGGTGCCAGCTCAAAGAATCATCGTGCAAACAACCAGTGAAATTGATCTTTTGGATGATGGCTACCGGTGGCGCAAGTACGGGCAGAAAGTGGTAAAAGGGAATCCTCATCCAAGGTAATCCTTCTGTTGCCCTCTATCTTTATCCGTTCTGCTCTGAGTCCCGGCCATATTGGACCACATTCTGCTCGGTGGCGCAAGCACATTGGACCATATTGGGACCAACTCTAGATAATGCCACATTTTCCTGCATCTCTATGTAATTTATCACTAACTATGAAGAAGACTACTGTTTGTTAGTTGTAGACACAGAATATATGTAAACCTTCCACTGGAATAAGATCTTTTGGAACTTCTTACTGGCATTGGAGGACTTGAATCTTAATTTTCAGAATGGTGTTTGAAAAAGTGGATTCTAGCTTTCATCCTGGAATTTTGGACCTTTCTCACCTCCACACCCCTTGTTGTATTCTGGTTGTCAAGGGCAGAGGGGTTGGGAGGTGAGCAAATGTCCCTTGCGCATTCTGGTTGTCTACGGCAGAGGGGCTGGGAGGTGAGCAAATGTCCTTCTCAAGTGATAGCTAGGAGGGCAATGATGAACTTACTGGAGATAGTGGAACTCCTACTGTTGTCAGAATTATCAAACATACATGTATGAAGCTCTGATTAACCATGACTACTTGATAATACTATTGATTGGCTGGACAATTTTGCTTCTGCACGGAGTTGCGACCTATGTTTATAAAGCGGTAAAGCGAAGCGAGGCGCTAGGGGGGCGCCTCACTGCTTAAGCGATAAAGCGTAAAGCGAGGCGACGCTTTACACAGACTCTGAACCTGATGGGCAGTATAATAGAGCACCATTTAGTGAGACATATATATGTTGATTCTAATCCACCAGTGAGCCCATATATTCTGATCCATCCACTAAGCAGTAAGCAACTAGCCAATTGCTATAAGAGAGGCAGTAGCACCTAACAGCAGAGGAGTTGTGCATAGCATAACACACAACAGAGCAGAAAAGGCTGGTGCAGATCTGAGGAAGCTACTGCCAGAGGAGAGAGGAAAGAGCTGAAAGCCTGGATATTTGCACGCTCTGGTTTTGGTTCTCTCTCTTTCTTTCCCCTCCTGTAACTGTTTCACATGTGAGCCCAGCCCTGTTTCCCTGCCAGGAATCTCTGTACCCTGCCTGGCAAGTCTAAGGCGTCCTCTCTGCCTTAAAGCGCCAATCAGGACGCCTAAGCAGGCGCTTCAGACGCTTTAGTGTCTAAGGCGGACGCCTTAGACACATGTCTAAAGCGAGTTGGACGCTTTGAGCCTGGAGGGCGCTCTAACGCGCTTTAGGGACGCTTTACAAACAGAGGTTGCGACAGATTTAAGTCGTAGCTCAAAATTTCAAACAGATAGACGTCTAGACATACTGACAACCACAAGGCTGCGCAAGTGTCATCTGAAACAGCCTCTTATAGATACATAGAGAAAGGCTGCGTACTAATTTCTGTAAGAGGCTTTTACCTGATATCAGGTATTTCGGAAACAGCCTCTTACAGAAATGTAGGGAAAGGCTGCATACTATAGACCCAAAGCGGTCGGACCCTTCCCCGGACCCCGCGCAAGCGGGAGCTACATGCACTGGGCTGCCCTAGACTTCTAGACATACTGACAACCACAAGGTTTAGTTTTAAGCACAGAAAATAATCAAATGGACCATGCTGCTGATTAGTCAAGAGAATTTTTTTTCCGAGGAAATTAGTCAGAGATTGAATGAATAATCCCTTGCGTATGCTACCTGCCTGTTCCCTTTATTCGGTTGAATTATTTTTATGGCATAGTCTGTTTGACTTTGCTTGTTTAGCGATATACAGAACATTTGGATATTTTTTTGCTATGGTTCTTTTGGGCAAGTTTGCTGCTGTCAAAATGATATCTAGCTAGCAGCTTGCACTGTTTAGTAATCCCCCCTTTTTTGTTGTTCTCTTTCTGAAGTTATTCATGACATATTGACTCTAGTTGTGCACTGTACAGGAGTTACTACAAATGCACGTACCAGGGTTGCGGTGTAAAGAAGCATATCGAAAGATGTTCGCAAGACCCAACGGCGGTGATAACTACATATGAAGGCAAGCATAGCCATGATGTGCCAGCAGCTAGGAGCAGCGTGGCTGCTGCTGCCAGTGCCAATGCATCCTCTTCCATTAGCTTACTACATAGAGGGCAGAAGGCAGCATCCAGTAGCCAACGGGTGTTGCCCAGAGCAGCAGTACATACATCAGATTCTTCCTTGCAGCTAAAAGAAGAAAATGAGATAACATAAACTTTTGGAGTACTTAGTGAGGTAAATTATTCCAATATATCAGCCCATTTCTGGTTGTGCTGCTGCATTGGTTCAAATCGAGAGGATATTCTTCCACGAGCCTTGCTTGCACAGAGTCTGTGTTGCAGCACTGCATCTTGCGTGCTGTACTCCCATTGGTTTTAAATTGTACTGGTCTCTATTCCATGGAAAAACTGTAGGTGACGGAGGTTTCGTTGTTGCAAGTGTATATGCTCGAGTTGTACTCCCTCCATTCCAAAATAGATGACTCAACTTTATACTAACTTCGTACTCCCTCCGTCCCAAAATTCTTGTCTTAGATTAGTCTAGATACGGATGTATCTAATACTAAAACGTGACTTGATACATCCGTATTTAGACAAATCCAAGACAAGAATTTTGGGACGGAGGGAGTACAGAATTGAGTCATCTATTTTAAAACGGAGGGAGTAGCTCTTACCTGATAACCTCATTTGTACATATATCTCCGTAAGTGTCATTTGACAGGATGTATTAAAGTCTTAATTGATGAACAAGGCAATGGCCTTCCGTCAATCTCCTTTCAGTTTGTCGTCGCAGCGGAATGTGCCTCGGTGGACCCGAGGCAAAAGAAAGAATCAAATTGTTCTGATGCTTGTGTCTTGTAAAAGCGAAATATTCTTTGAATGTGAGACGATGTTCTTGTTAATAGCGAGGTGCTTGTTGTGTCTTTGTCTTTGTCAATCTTAAGATTCGTGGACTCAGTCTTCCGTATATGCTCATACGGATAGAATGTGTATATGTTCATACAAGTGAATTTATGGGTATGTGATCAACTGAGTTTGTACTCTGATTCTTAAAAGAAATCCCCGTAATTTATCACCGAAATATGTCGGGAAATATAAGGTTTATTTTGTTTGGTTATAAGTCCTTGGCAAATTAGTTCGAGTCCTGCCATCCACCTGCCACCTCTTTTAGGCGATCAAGGATGGTTGATACAAGGAGTTATTTGGAGATGTTGCTCTTTGGGCAAGTTGTATTGTATGTGATGGGGACATCAATACCATTGTTACACCCACAGCTCCTGCTGCTATACATATTGGATCAATTACTAGAGCTTGCACACGCCAATTAAATTATTAGGTATTTTCGTTTCTTGGTAATGATTTTAATGTTCATGAGAATATAATGCTATCTAAATTGGATACATTTGTTTTGCTTACAAATGAAGGGCCTAGCTTGGAGAAGGATGAACATTGGAGCAAAAACAAGCATGGAGATGATGGCATGCGCAAGGGGAACAAGAACGGAGTTACAAGTGATGATTTTAGGACGTTGAAGCCACCATAATGAGTGCATGAAGACTTGGATGAAATATACAAGATGGTACTTCATAACTTTCGTCCAGAGGCTATTCTAGGTGTTGTGTCACCTTATTATTGAGCCAGACCCATGTATTTTCGAAATACTTGAGTATAGGCTGTTTTTAGAGTCTGTATGTGTGGGGAAACAAGAGATAGGGTTGGTTTCGGACCCCTTCCCCAAGGGCCACGAAATTCCCCCCTCTTCCTCCATATATACAACCCTTAGGGCGTCGTTTAGACTTTGAGTTTTGTTTAGATTAAAGTTCGCCATAGCTGCAACTTCGAGTACTTCGTTTGTGTTCAACGACCAGACAAATGCGTCACATAACCCCACCTTCATTAATAAAATTTTCCTCTTATATTCGCAATATCCAGATTGTAATCTTAGTTTCTTACTTGTTCTTCGTTTGCTCGCAGGAAAACAGACCCTCGTGGTCAGGTTGATCGCGCTCCGGCGTGGTCAATAACCCCTCGGAAGTTGATTTAGCGATTGCTAAGGCACGGCGTCTCGCACGTTCGTAGTCGGATCGTCAAGGTCGACTCCCACAGAAAACGATAGCCACCATCTCATCGAAAGACGGGACACTTTTGCCTCTATCAAGTGGTATCAAATTTCCAGGTTGCTCGGTGAGATTTTATAGTTTTTCGTAGTTTAGATCGAGTCTGTTCTTCATACCTACAGTCCACGAAAAAGCCAAAAAAAGTAGGTTTAGTTCCTTATATCCGAACCAATCTGAGCCTTTGCATAATCTTTTTAGGGTTTTGCATTGTTGAATTTGCGGTTGCTGGTCTTAGTGTCTAGTCCTTTAGAGTTTCGAGTTCTGTTCACAAGTTGTCACGCCGCCGCCGCATCATCATCGTCACCGCTGTCATATACCCACCATCATCGTCACCGCTGCCATATACCACAATTGTCATCACCGCTGCCATATACCACCATCGTCATCACCGCTGCCATCTACCACCAACGTCATCACCGCAGCCATATACCACATATCCACCGCCATCACGATAATCTGAGTCCACCTGCAACATATATCCACCACCAGTCCGAGTTCCACCAGATTCATCTCCGCCACCAGTGTGAGTTCCACCAGATTCATCTCCACCATCAGTCCTAGTCCGAGTCCAGTATTTTGTTACTCTATTTTGGATTTCGAGATCACGCCATACTACGAGTCGTGACAGAGAAGGACTCCCAAACTTCCGTGTTACCCACAGTAGAAAAATAGTTCCAGTTTTTTTAAAAACTAAGTCTAGAAAATTCTGGCTAGGCAGTTTCTAGACCATTTGTAAACTTTTTCGAAAATTTTTTGTTGCGGAGCAAAAAAAAAACGAAAAAAGTGCAAAAGAAAGTGAAAAAAAGAGGAAAAAAATTCAGTGTGCTCCTCCCTTGTTTACGTGCAGTGCCGTGATTTTGTTAGTGTTCTAGGCTCGCGTCTCTAGCACGATCTAGCCTAGGACCAGCACAGTATCGTCGTTGAGCGTTTATTCAACTTTGCATCTCTGAATTGATTATTGCTGACCCTTTTTGCTACCATATTATAAGCCTTCCCGGCTCCACATACATATACGTCGTGCGTTTGACTCTCCCTGGTAATCGCTCTATCCAAGCTTTGAGAGTTTTGACTACAACGGTTGCCGATCACCACCTGCTGCTGGGTAAGAACTGGTAAGAATTTGAGATTCGCTTGACGGATTTGTGACACCCCACCACCACCATATTCCAGCAGTCTGTAGGATCATATTCTTGTCTGTTTCTATTGCTGCTAACTATGGCAGGAACACAAGTCGACGAGATTGACTGGGAGAACATGACGAACAATGAGCTTCATGATAAGTTTCATCAAATGTTGGGTCAATAGGTGGAAGACATGATGGTTAGCTTTGGAAAGGCAATGGAGAAGATGGATGACATTGAGAAGTCAATTGACACCAAGTTGGACGCCAAGTTTGATGAATTACTCAAACGTCTCCCACAACCAGCTCTACGTCGTGATACAGTAGGGCGAGCACAGCGTGTTCCTATTGAGCCAGGACAAAATTCTGGTGTCGCTGCTACTGCTGTTGGTCCTTCTGTAGCTCCTGCTGCTACTGCAGAGGTGGAGGACTATTACGAGGATGAGGTTGATCAAAATCAGAACTACGTGCAACCACCAGCACCACCACCAGCAGGTCGACCTCAGGTATATATTCGCAACGGTAGGCCTGCACCAGATAATGACCATATTCCTAAACTGAAATTGAATATTCCACCGTTTGAGGGTAGATATGTTCCTGATATATATCTTACTTGGGAGTTAGAAACTGAACAACGTTTTACATGTTTACAATATCCCAAGGAGAGACGGGTTGCTGCTGCTGCTGTTTGTGCTTTCACTAGTTTTGCATGTGTATGGTGGTCTGAACATTGTAGATTATATCCTATTCCAGCTACTTGGGCTGCTTTGAAAACTGCTATGCGTACTCGTTGGGTTCCACCATATTATCAACGTGAATTGCTTCAAAAATTGCAGCGTTTAAGACAAGGAAAAAATTCTGTAGAAGAATATTATCAGGAATTATAAACTGGCATGATTAGATGTGGTATTGTTGAGGAGAATGAAGCTATGCTTGCACGTTTTATGGGTGGATTAAATAGAGAGATTCAGACCATTCTAGAGTATAAGGAGTATACTAATATCACTCGTTTATTCCATCTTGCTTGTAAAGCTGAACGTGAAGTGCAGGATCGACAAGCATTGGCGCGAACTAACTTTTCTGCAGGTCGACCTTCATCATGAACACCGCGTGTGTAACGCCCCAGATTCGATGCGCCAGGTGTCCGCCAGTTATTCGCCGTCGTTGCCATTCTTGTTTTGCTTGCCATTTGCAAACCGTGCATCCGTTTCCAGTGATCTTTATATCGATTTCAACCGAAATCATCTCATCTTTCCAGCGGCATACTTGGTTTGCCAAGTTGATGCCTTGTTCATCATCTTTCCTTCCGAAGCACGCATATGCATTGCATACCACATCTCGCATATCTTGACATGTATTGCATCATGTTGCTTGTGCATTGCACCGTGATTTATTATGGTTCCTTGCTTGTGTTCTTGCTTTGGGTAGAGCCGGGAGACGAGTACGTGCACGAGGAACCTGTTGAGTATGCTAACGAGGATCAAGCCTTCGACAACTCTGAGAACCTTGCAGGCAAGATGATCATACCTTCGATATCACTTCTATCTTTGCTTGCTAGTACTCGCTCTATCGCTATGTTAGTTCTACCTGCCTTTGTTTACCATGCCTCCCTATTGCCATGTCAAACCTCTAACCAACCTGTCCTAGCAAACCGTTGTTTGGCCATGTCACCGCTTTTGCTCAGCCCCTCTTATAGCGTTGTTAGTTGCAGGTGAAGATGAAGTTTGTTCCTGGTCGGAACGCGGATATTTTGGGATATCACAATATCTCCTGTTTTAAATTAATGCACCTTATATACTTGGTAAAGGGTGGAAGGCTCGGCCTTATGCCTGGTGACTTGTTCCACTCTTGCGCCCCTAGTTTCCGTCATACCGGTGTTATGTTCCTTGATTTTGTGTTCCTTACACGGTTGGGTGATTTATGGGACCCCCTTAACAGTTCGCTTTGAATAAAACTCCTCCAGCAAGGCCCAAACTT